AATATCACAAGCGATCGAGCAAAGAAACCAAAGTGGAGCTATTGGCATCACCGGTACATATACAGTGTGGAGAACCGCGTGGAGCGACCTGACCTGACGTCCAGTGTGGGAACACCCGCCGTGGAACTGTCTGGTTGTGCTTGTTGGGTGGTGACTGGTAAGTGTCTCGCTCTCTGAAGCCTTCAACTAGTGTGCAAGGTTTATATAATTTCATATAGTAGTCACATATAATGCATTTCATTCGATAATAGAATAGTAATCTTGATAGATTGATAGAGAACGAGTCAGTAACTCACTGTGAGCTTAAGTTGGGACCTGAATTGTAATGTGTGTGAAGGGATTAGCAAGTCAGGGTAACACCGTCCCTTCTTCCCCCAACACGTCAACTGAACACCATAGATGGAGTAAAATACAATCTCCCTCTTCCCCTCTACACCCCTCTCTTCCTCTCTCTCTCTCTCTCTCTCTCTCTCTCTCCCTTTCTCGCCCTCTCCCTATCTTTCTTGCTCTCTCCCTTGCCATCTCTCTCTCTCTCTCTCTCTCTCTCTCTCTCTTGTTGTCTCTCTCTCTCTCTTCTGCTCTCTCCTCTCTCTCTCTCTCTCTCTCTCTCTCTCTCTCTCTCTCTCTCTCTCTCTCTCTCTCTCTCTCTCTCTCTCTCTCTCTCTCTCTCTCTCTCTCTCTCTCTCTCTCTCTCTCTTCTCTCTCTCTCTCTCTCTCTCTGCCCCCCTGCCTAACTCTATCAAAACTTATCAGGGAAAGGAACAAAATGGCAGGAGGACGCAACAGGGACACAGGGAATAGTCAAAGTGACCAAATGAAGGAAAGGTTAGCCCAAGTTTTCCAGGAATTCAGTAGGGAGATGCATGATATGAGGATTACAATTAATAACAACCTGCAAAGTGAGCTGACATCAGCAAGGGAGGAGATCAAATCCCTCACAGAGAAAAATAAAGAGGCTGAGCATCAGATTATCATCCAAAGGGAAGATGGATATGTTGCATTGGAAGAAAATGTCTCTGTACCTGAAACATTTGCGGAAATACTGAGAAAGAGCTCAAAAGCAATGGACACAGTGAGGGAGGTAGCCATACAAGCAGCTACCTCACAGGAAGCAGCAAGGTGAACCAGTCAGCTGCTGGAAAGAAAAAGATTAGTGGTAGTTGTTGGCATCAAAGAGCAGGAAGGATCCAATAGGCAGGAATGGAATAGCAAGGACAGAGAGGCAGTACATGGGATACTGAAGGGGTTACAGGTGGAAGGGGCTGAACGAAACATTGTGAAGGTTTTCAGGTTGGGCTGGTACAACAAGGACAGAAACCGACTGGTAAAGGTAGTGTTTGCAAATAAGACCACGAAGGATGTTATTCTGGAAAGGAAGAGTCATCTGCAGTATGTGGAGGAATACAAAAATGTATTCCTACAGAGGGACAGGAGGAGAGAGCCAGGGCAGCAGAGGTAAGGAGAAAGCGCAGGAAAAGAGGAGTAAGTCAGGAAATGACAGCCCCAACACAACAGTCCCAGAGACAAGAGGGGGAACCCACAACCAGCATCCCAGCAACACACGTGGGGAGGTCAACACCACCACCCCCCCTCTGCATAGAAACCCCTACCTTCCCTTCCCCTCACCCTACCCACCCCCACTCAAATACTCACCCAACCCTCCCATCCCCCCACCCCATTCCGACCATGTCACCCCTCCCCCATTCCCACCATGTCCCCCCTTCCACCTTTCCCCACCTGTTCCCCCTCCCCCTTCATCCCATACCCTCCCTATCCATCCACCCCCTTCACCCCCGAATCTTCCATGTCCCCCTATCTCCTTACCCCATACCCTACCTGTTCCCCTTTCCTTGAACCCCCCCCCCCCCCAAGAAAAAAAAATCCTCTGAGACCCTACAAACCACCTCAGATCTTCTCGCCCAGGGAACAGCTCTCCCCACCAACAGAATGCTCACCTAGAAGGGGACAGGAAAATGAACAGAAGAAAGTGAGCCTCAAGGCAATGTACACTAACAGAGATGAGATTACAAATAAAACGAGTGAACTCGGAAAATGGGCTAGAAGAAAACCTAGACATAATAGCACTCACAGAAACAAAGTTAACGAAAACAATAAAAAATGCAGTGTTTCCACAGGACTATTGTGTAATGAGGAAAGAGAGAGAAGGGAGAGGAGGAGGTGGTGTAGCTTTGCTGATAAGAAAAGGTTGGAGTTTGAAGAGATGGTTAATCAAAGCTGTGAAGGTTTCAGTGACTACATATTAGGCACCATAACAACTGAAGGACATAAAATTATAGTAGTAGTCATATATAACCCCCCACCGAACCACAGAAGACCCTGACAGGAATATGATAGAAACAACACGACCACCATCAATATAATAGAGAGAGCAGCTTCTGTGGCTAGCAGGAACGGATACAGACTACTAATCATGGGAGACTTCAACCATGGGAAGATAGATTGGGGGAACAGAGACCCACATGGAGGACCGGACATATGGAGAGCTAAGCTGCTGGATGTGGCAACAAGAAAATTTTTAAGTCAACACGTCAAGGGACCGACAAGAAAGAGAGAAGATGAACCAGCCTTGCTTGATCTGATATTTACCCAAAATGAGTCGGATATAAGAGAAGTTAAGTTGGAAGCCCCCTTGGGAATGAGTGATCATAGTGAATTGAGCTCTGAGTACCTGGTTGAGCTAGGAATTATCTCCAAAAAAAAAAAGAACTGGGAAACAAAGGGCTGGCATACCGAAAGGGAAACTATGAGGAGATGAATAAATTCCTAAGGGATATACCATGGGACACAGAACTCAGAACTAAGTCCGTACAAGACATGATGCACAATGTCACCCAAAAGTGTCAGGAGGCGGTAAACAGGTTTTACCTGGCTCGACAGGAAAAAAACGAGAAGCAAAAGAAGAATCCGTGGTTTAATAAGGAATGTATGAAAGCAAAGGAGCTGAATTAAAAGGGCGTGGAGGAACTGCCGTAATAACAGAATACCAGAAAGTAGAGAGAGATACCAGAGAACCAGGAATGAGTATGTTAGTGTGAGAAGAGCAGCTTAGAAAATGTATGCAAATTATATAGCAAATAAAGCCAAGACCGACCCAAAGCTACTACACAGTCACATCAGGAGGAAAACGGCAGTGAAAGAACAGGTGAAACTTTGAACGGGTGAGGACAGATACACAGATAATAACAAAGAAGTGTGAGAAGAACTCAACAAGAAGTTCCAAAGGGTCTTTACAACAGAACAAGGAGAGGTCACGGCGCTAGGAGAGGTGGCAGCAAACCAGGCGACCTTGGAAGGATTCGAAATTACAAGAGATGAGGTCAAGAGGCACTTATTAGAGCTGGACGTGAGAAACGTTGTTGGGCCGGACGGAATCTCACCATGGGACTTGAAAGAGTGTGCAGGAGCACTTTGTTTGCCACTCTCCATAGTGTATAGTAGGTCTCTGGAAACGGGAGACCTACCAGAAATATGGAAGACTGCTAATGTAGTCCCAATATACAAAAAGGGTGACAGACACGAGGCACTGAACTACAGGCCAGTGTCCTTAACTTGTGTACCAGGCAAGGTTGATGGAGAAGATCGTGAGAAAAACCTAGTAACACATCTGGAGAGAAGGGACAACGTGACAACCCATCAACATGGGTTCAGGGAGGGTAAATCTTGCCTTACAGGCTTGATGGAATTCTACAATCAGGTGACAAAGATTAAGCAAGAAAGAGAAGGGCAGGCGGACTGCATTTTTTTGGATTGTTGAAAAGCCTTTGACACAGTACCCCATAAAAAGGCTGATGCATAAGCTGGAGAAACAGGCAGGAGTAACTAGTAGGACGCTCCTGTGGATAAAGGAGTACCTAAGCAATTCAAAGGTTTGCCATCAGACAAGTACCCGAACTGAGTGGTATGAGCTACGAGGAGAGACTACGGGAATCAAATCTCACGTCACTGGGAGACAGATGAGTTAGAGGGTACATAATCACCACATACATGATTCTCAGAGGAATTAATAGAGTAGATAAAGACAGACTTTTTAACACAAGGGGCACACGCACTAGGAGACTCAGGTGGAAATTGAGTGCCCAAATGAGCCATAGAGACGTTAGAAATATTTTTTTCAGTGTCAGAGTAGTAGACAAATGGAAGGCAGTGATGTGGTGGAGGCTGACTCCGTACACAAGTTAAAGTGTAAATATGATAGAGCCCAGTAGGCTCAGAAACCTATACATTAGTTGATTGACCATTGGGAGGCGGGACCAAAGAGCCAGAGCTCAACCCCCGCAAGTACAACTAGGTATATTGTACGCAGGTAAGTACACACCTGCGCCTGTGGCTGAGTAGTCAGCGCTCGGGATTCGTAGTCCTAGGGACCGAGGATCGATCCCGGCGAAGGCGGAAACAAATGAGCAGAACTTCTTTCATCCTGATACCCCTTTTCTCCTAGCAAGAAATAGGTACTCGGAAGTTAGATTGCTGTTACGGGCTGCTTCCTGTGTGTGGGTGTGTGTGAAAAAAATTTATTGATTAACAGTTTAGAGGCGGGCGAAAAGAGCCAGGGCTCAACCCTGGAAGCACAACTAGGTAAATGGAACTATGTAAATAAACACACACACACAAAGTCAAAACTGAATTAGATAAAATACCAGACCCATACATGTCGAGCAGTCACAAACATTCAACCACGCCAAACACACAAGAACTAACCCACAATGAAAACAGCGAAGCGCCGCTACACAAACACGTCAACAAATACATAACACGTATTTTCATTCCGCCATTACCTGCCACTTCGTCACCTCGGAACAAATCAATCAACAGAACCACCCACTAAAGGGCGGACGCGAGCGCTCGTGACGCAACAATTAAGAGCTTCAAAGCTGAGCAGCGGCATACAAATCACCTCCGCCGGCGGGCGGCCGGACCCACCTCCTGCTGATATGTAAATTATAAATTGATTTGGAGCGCAGGAATTACAGAGACGACTCTTACGCTTCAGCCAGCACCATGTTGTCTGTATCAAACCTCTCGGTGCCAGCAATGCTAGTAGTACCAGAACTACTAGTAATACCAGCACTACTAGTAATACCAGCACTACTAGTAATACCAGCACTACTAGTAGTACCAGCACTGCTAGTAGTACCAGCACTACTAGTAATACCAGCACTACTTGTAGTACCAGCACTAGTAGTAGTACCAGCACTACTTGTAGTACCAGCACTACTTGTAGTACCAGCATTACTGGCAGTACCAGCACTACTAGTAGTACCAGCACTACTTGTAGTACCAGCACTACTTGTAGTACCAGCACTACTAGTAGTACCAGCACTACTTGTAGTACCAGCATTACTGGTAGTACCAGCATTACTGGCAGTACCAGCACTACTAGTAGTACCAGCACTACTAGTAGTACCAGCACTGGTAGTAGTACCAGCACTGGTAGTAGTACCAGCACTACTAACAGTACCAGCACTACCAGCAGTACCAGTACTACTAGTAGTACCAGCACTACTAGTAATACCAGCACTACTAGTAATACCAGCACTACTAGCGGTACTAGCACAACTGGCAGTACCAGCACTACTAGCAGTACCAGCACTACTAGCAATACCAGCACTAGTAGCAGTACCAGCACTACTGGTAGTGTCAGCACTACTGGTAGAACCAGCACTACTGGTAGTACCAGCATTACTGGCGGTATCATCACTACTGGTAGTACCAGCACTACTGGTAGTACCAGCACTACTGGTAGTACCAGCACTACTGGTAGTACCAGCACTACTGGTAGTACCAGCACTACTGGTAGTACCACCATTACTGGCAGTACCAGCACTACTTGCAGTACCAGCACTACTAGTAGTACCAGCACTACTTGTAGTACCAGCACTACTGGTAGTACCACCATTACTGGCAGTACCAGCACTATTTGCAGTACCAGCACTACTAGCAGTACCAGCACTAGTAGTAGTAGTACCAGGACTTTTGGCAGTACAGCACTACTTGTAGTACCAGCACTACTAGTAGTACCATCAATACTATCAGTACCAGCTCTATTAGTAGTATCAGCACTATTAGCAGTACCAGTAATACTATCAGTACAAGCACTACTATTAATACCAGTACTACTAGTAGTACCAGCACTACTGGTAGTACCAGCACTACTGGCAGTACCAGCACTACTGGCAGTACCAGCACTACTTGTAGTACCAGCATTACTGGTAGTACCAGCACTACTAACAATACCAGCACTACTTGTAGTACCAGCACTACTGGCAGTACCAGCACTACTTGTAGTACCAGCATTACTGGTAGTACCAGCACTACTAACAATACCAGCACTACTTGTAGTACCAGCACTACTGGTAGTAACAGCCCTACTGGTAGTACAAGCACTACTTGTAGTACCAGCATTACTAGTAGTACCAGCATTACTGGCAGTACCAGCACTACTTGTATTACTAGCACTACTAGTAGTACCAGCACTACTGGTAGTACCAGCATTACTGGTAGTACCAGCACTACTGGCAGTACAGAACTACTTGTAATTCCAGCACTACTAGTAGTACCAGCACTACTTGTAGTACCAGTACTACTTGTAGTACCAGCACTACTGCCAGTACCAGCATTACTAGTAGTACCAGCACTACTAGTAGTACCAGCACTACTTGTAGTACCAGCACTACTGGCAGTACCAGCACTACTAGCAGTACTAGCACTACTAATAGCACCAGCACTACTAGCAGTACCAGCACTACTAGCAGTATCAGCACTACTTGCAGTACCAGCCCAACTAGCAGTACCAGCACTACCAGCAGTACCAGCACTACTAGCAGTACCAGCACAACTAGCAGTACCAGCACCACCAGCAGTACCAGCACTACTAGCAGCACCAGCACTACTGCTAGAACCTGCATTACTGGCACTATCACGACTACTGGTAGTACCAGCACTACTAGTAGTACCAGCACTACTGGCAATACCAGCGCTACTTGTAGTACCAGCACTAATAGTAGTACCAGCACTACTTGTAGTACCAGCACTACTAGTAGTACCAGCACTACCTGTAGTACCAGTACTACTGGTAGTACCACCATTACTGGCAGTACCAGTACTACTTGTAGTACCAGCGCTACTAGTCGTACCAGCACTACTTGTAGTACCAGCAATACTGACAGTACCAGCATTACTAGTAGCACCAGCCCTACTAGCAATACCAGCACTACTAGAAGATCCAGCACTACTAGCAGTACCAGCACTACTAGCAGTACCATCACTACTAGCATTACCAGCTCTACTACTAGTACCAGCACAACTAGTAGTACCAGCACTACTAGGAGTACCAGCACTACTAGCAGTACCAGCACTACTAGTAGTACCAGCATTACTAGCAGTACCAGCACTACTAGTAGTACCAGCAATACTAGCAGTACCAGCACTACTAGTAGTACCAACACTACTAACAGTACCAGCACTGGTAGTAATACCAGCACTACTAGTAGTACCAGCACTTCAATCAGTACCAGCACTACCAGCACTACCAGCAGTACCAGACCTACCAGCAGTACCAGCACTACTAGCAGTACCAGCACTGGTAGTAGTACCAGCACTGGTAGTAGTACCAGCACTACTAACAGTACCAGCACTACCAGCAGTACCAGCACTACTGGTAGTACCAGCACTGCTGGCAGTACCAGCACTACTGGTAATACCAGCACTACTGGTAGTACCAGCACTACTGCCAGTACCAGCATCAGTAGTAGTACCAGCGCTACTAGTAGTACCAGCACTACTAGCAGTACCAACACTACTAGCAGTACCAGCACTACCAGCAGTACTAGCTCTATTAGTAGTACCAGCAATACTTGCAATACCAGCATTACTAGTAATACCAGCACTACTAGTAGTACCAGCACTAAAAACAGTACCAGCACTGCCAGCAGTACCAGCACTACTAGCAGTACCAGCACTACCAGCAGTATCAGCATTACTATTAGTACCAGCACTGCTAATAGTATCAGTACTACTAACAGTACCAGCACTACTAGTATTACCAACACTACTAGTAGTACCAGCACTACTAGTACTACCAGCACTACTAGCAGTACAAGCACAACTGGCAGTACCAGCACTACTAGCAGTAGCAGCACTACTAGCAGTACCAGCACTACTAGCAGTACCAGCACTACTGGTAGTATCAGCACTACAGGTAGTACCAGCACTACTAGTACTACCAGCACTACTAGCAGTACCAGCACTACTGGCAGTATCATCACTACTGGTAGTACCAGTACTACTGGCAGTACCAGCACTACTTGTAGTACCAGCAATACTAGTAGTACCAGCACTACTTGTAGTACCAGCACTACTGGTAGTGCCACCATTACTGGCAGTACCAGCACTATTTGCAGTACCAGCACTACTAGCAGTACCAGCACTAATAGTAGTAGTACCAGGACTTTTGGCAGTACAGCACTACTTGTAGTACCAGCACTACTAGTAGTACCAGCAATACTATCAGTACCAGCTCTATTAGTAGTATCAGCACTATTAGCAGTACCAGTAATACTATCAGTACCAGCACTCCTAGTAGTACCAGCACTACTATCAATACCAGTACTAATAGTAGTACTAGCACTACAGGTAGTACCAGCACTACTTGTAATATCAGCAATATTAGTAGTACCAGTACTACTTGTAGTACCAGTACTACTAGTAGTACCAGCACTACCTGTAGTACCAGCAATACTGGCAGTTCCAGCATTACTAGTAATACCAGCACTACTAGCAATACCAGCACTACTAGTAGATCCAGCACTACTAGCAGTACCAGCACTACCAGCAGTACCAACACTTCTAGCATTACCAGCTCTACTTCTAGTACCAGCACAACTAGTAGTACCAGCACTACTAGGAGTACCAGCACAACTAGCAGTACCAGCACTACTAGTATTACTAGCACTACTAGCAGTACCAGCACTACTAGTAGTACCAACACTACTAGCAGTACCAGCCCTACCAGCAGTACCAGCTCTATTAGTAGTACCAGCAATACTTGCAATACCAGCATTATTAGTAATACCAGCACTACTAATAGTATCAGCACTAAAAACAGTACTAGCAGTACCAGCTCTATTAGTAGTACCAGCACTACTTGTAGTACCAGCACTACTGGTAGTAACAGCCCTACTTGTAGTACCAGCACTACTTGTAGTACCAGCACTACTAGTAGTACCAGCACTACTTGTAGTACCAGCCCTACTTGTAGTACCAGCACTACTTGTAGTACCAGCTCTATTAGTAGTACCAGCACTACTTGTAGTACCAGCATTACTGGTAGTACCAGCACTACTGCTAGTACCAGCACTACTGGTAGTAACAGCCCTACTTGTAGTACCAGCACTACTTGTAGTACCAGCACTACTAGTAGTACCAGCACTGCTTGTAGTACCAGCATTACTGGTAGTTCCAGCATTACAGGCAGTACCAGCACTACTTGTATTACTAGCACTACTAGTAGTACCAGCACTACTGGCAGTACAGCACTACTTGTGATTCCAGCACCACTAGTAGTACCAGCACTACTTGTAGTACCATTACTACTTGTAGTACCAGCACTACTGCCAGTACCAGCATTACTAGTAGTACCAGCACTACTAGTAATACCAGCACTACTTGTAGTAGCAGCACTACTGGCAGTAACAGCACTACTAGTAGTACTAGCACTACTAATAGTACCAGCACTACTTGTAGTACCAGAACTACTGCCAGTACCAACGTTACTAGTAGCACCAGCACTACTAGCAGTACTAGCACTACTAATAGCACCAGCACTACTAGCAGTACCAGCACTACTAGCAATATCAGCACTACTAGCAGTACCAGCACAACTAGCAGTACCAACACTACCAGCAGTACCAGCACTACTAGCAGTACCAGCACAACTAGCAGTACCAGCACTACCAGCAGTACTGGCAATACCAGCGCTACTTGTAGTACCAGCACTACTAGTAGTACCAGCACTACTTGTAGTACCAGCACTACTAGTAGTATCAGCACTACCTGTAGTACCAGTACTACTGGTAGTACCACCATTACTGGCAGTACCAGCACTACTTGTAGTATCAGCGCTACTAGTCGTACCAGCACTACTTGTAGTACCAGCAATACTGACAGTACCAGCTCTACTACTAGTACCAGCACAACTAGTAGTACCAGCACTACTAGGAGTACCAGCACTACTAGCAGTACCAGAACTACTAGTAGTACCAGTATTACTAGCAGTACCAGCACTACTAGTAGTACCAACACTACTAACAGTACCAGCACTACTAGTAATACCAGCACTACTAGTAGTACCAGCACTTCAAACAGTACCAGCACTACCAGCACTACCAGCAGTACCAGACCTACCAGCAGTACCAGCACTACTAGTAGTACCAGCACTGGTAGTAGTACCAGCAATACTAACAGTACCAGCACTACCAGCAGTACCAGCACTACTAGTAGTACCAGCACTACTAGTAGTACCAGCACTGGTAGTAGTACCAGCACTACCAGCAGTACCAGCACTACTAGTAGTACCAGCACTACTAGTAGTACCAGCACTGGTAGTAGTACCAGCACTACTAACAGTACCAGCACAACCAGCAGTACCAGCACTACTAGTAGTACCAGCACTACTAGCAGTACCAGCACTACTAGCAATACTAGCACCAATAGCAGTACCAGCACTACTGGTAGCACCAGCACTACAGGTATTATTAGCACTACTAGGGGAACCAGCACTACTAGCAGTACCAGCACTACTAGCAGTACCAGCACTACCAGCAGTACCAGCACTACTAGTAGTACCAGCACTACTAACAGTACAATCACTGCCCGCAGTACCAGCACTACTTGTAGTACCAGCACTACTAGCAGTACCAGCACTACTAGCAATACTAGCACCAATAGCAGTACCAGCACTACTGGTAGCACCAGCACTACAGGTATTATTAGCACTACTAGGGGAACCAGCACTAATAACAGTACCAGCACTACTAGCAGTAGCAGCACTACTAGCAGTAGCAGCACTACTAGCAGTACCAGCACTACTAGCAGTACAAGCACAACTGGCAGTACCAGCACTACTGGCAGTATCATCACTACTGGTAGTACCAGTACTACTAGTAGTACCAGTACTACTGGCAGTACCAGCACTACTTGTAGTACCAGCAGTACTAGTAGTACCAGCACTACCTGTAGTACCACCATTACTGGCAGTACCAGCACTACTTGCAGTACCAGCACTACAAGCAGTACCAAGCACTAGTAGCAGTACCAGCACTAATAGTAGTAGTACCAGGACTTTTGGCAGTACAGCACTACTTGTAGTACCAGCAATACTATCAGTACCGGCTCTATTAGTAGTATCAGCACTATTAGCAGTACCAGTAATACTATCAGTACCAGCACTGCTAGTAGTACCAGCACTACTATCAATACCATTACTATTAGTAGTACTAGCACTACAGGTAGTACCAGCACTACTTGTAATATCAGCAATACTAGTAGTACCAGTACTACTTGTATTACTAGCACTACAGGTAGTACCAGCACTACTTGTAGTTCCAGCATTACTAGTAGTACCAGCACTACTAGCAATACCAGCACTACTAGTAGATCCAGCACTATTAGCAGTACCAGCACTACTAGCAGTACCAACACTACTAGCATTACCAGCTCTACTACTAGTACCAGCACAACTAGTAGTACCAGCACTACTAGGATTACCAGCACAACTAGCAGTACCAGCACTACTTGCAGTACCAGCACTACTAGTAGTACCAACACTACTAGTAGTACCAACACTACTAGCAGTACCAGCACTACTAGTAATACCAGCACTACTAGTAGTACCCGCACTTCAGACAGTACCAGCACTACCAGCACTACCAGCAGTACCAGCACTACTAGTAGTACCAGCACTACTAACAGTACCAGCACTACCAGCAGTACCAGCACTACTAGCAGTACCAGCACTACTAGCAGTACCAGCACTGGTAGTAGTTCCAGCACTACTAACAGTACCAGCACTACCAGCAGTACCAGCACTACTAGTAGTACCAGCACTACTAACAGTACCAGCACTACCAGCAGTACCAGCACTACTAGCAGTACCAGCACTACTAGCAGTACCAGCACTGCTAATACTATCAGCACTACTAACAGTACCAGCACTGCCCGCAGTACCAGCACTACTAGTAGTACCAGCACTACTAACAGTACCAGCACTACTAGTATTAGGGCGCTTTACACTGCCTACGTGATCGTGATGCCAGTCTTAGAGTATGCCGCCTCATCATGGAGTCCCCATCTGAAGAAGCATATAATGAAACTGGAAAAGGTTCAGAGGTTTGCAACGAGACTCGTCCCAGAGCTACGAGGGATGGGGTATGAGGATCGCCTGAGAGAACTGTGCCTTACGACACTAGAAAGAAGAAGAGAGAGGGGGGACATGATAGGAACGTATAAAAAACTCAGAGGGATTGACAGACTGGACATAGACGAAATGTTCACACGGAATAGTAACAGAACGAGGGGACATGGATGGAAGCTGGAAACTCAGGTGAGTCAGAGAGATGTTAGGAAGTTTTCTTTTAGCGTGAGAGTAGTGGGAAAATGGAATGCACTTCAGGAACAGGTTGTGGAAGCAAATACAATTCATAATTTTAAAACCAGGTATGATAGGGAAATGGGACAGGAGTCATTGCTGCAAACAACTGATGCTTGAAAGGCGGGATCCAAGAGTCAATGCTTGATCCTGCAGACACAACTAGGTGAGTACACACACACACACACACACACACACACACACACACACACACACACACACACACACACACACACACACACACACACACACACACACACACACACACACACACACACACACACACAACCTCTCAACCTCTATCTGACTCTCAGTCTCACTCTATTTCTCAACCCCCCTATGCCATTCAGACTCATTCTAACTTTCAGACTCATTATGTCCTTCCTACCCCCCTAGATGCCCAGACCCCATTCGCCTACCCGGCACTCCCAGACACCCCTCATAGCACTCCGCCAGACACCCCTACAGCCCCACTCCCCCCACCCCCTCAGTACCCCCCAGACTCCTGGCGAAAGGGGGAACTTTGGCACCAGAGTTTCCAAGAAGAGTCTCAAGGTTTGGTACACCAATGATGATGGTGTACCCAATAAAGCAGAAGAGATAAAAGAAAAAGTTAGTGAGGCAGACCCAGACATAGTGGCAATAGTGGAAACTAAAATAAATGGCATGATCTCGGATGCAATCTTTCCAGAGGGGTACCAGGTGATAAGAAAAGAAAGGACACAGAGACAAGGAGGAGGAGTGGCACTCCTAATAAAGCGGATATGGAAGTTTGATGAGCTGGAAAATCCGGGTACCAATGAAAGCACGAACTCCATACATGGAACTCTGACAGTGGATGGGAAGAAGATTGTAATCTTGATACTCTACAATCCCCCACCCAACAGTACAAGGCCCAGGCAGGAGTATGAGGACAGCAACAAGGCATGTATAGATGAACTGCAGAGGGCAGCAACTATTGCGCATAGAATGAAGACAAAGAGCTGGTCATGTGGGACCTAAATCACGGAGAGATAGATTGGGAAACGAAGAATCCCCATGGCGGGGAGGAGACCTGGGGAGCGAAGCTGGTAGACGTTACTGACAGGAATTTCTTAACACAGCATGTGAAGGAAGACACTAGGGAAAGAGGAGGGGATACGCCCAGCCTATTAGATCTCGTTTTCACCCAGAATGTAGAAGACATCGAGCATTTAGAACATGAAATACCACTAGGAGCCAGTGACCATTCTGTCCCAGTCTTTGACTACATGATGGAGCTTAAAATTGTGAACAAAAGACAAGAGGTCCGAGTAAGGAGACTTGATTACAGAAGAGGGGACTACAGGAGGATAAGGGACTACCTGGGAGAAGTGCAGTGGGAGGAAGAAATTAGAGGAAAAACAGTGCAAGATATGATGAACCAAGTCATATGGAAATGCAAGGTGGCTGAAGAGAGATTTATTCCAACAGTAAAGGAAAAAAGCAGGAGGGATATGATAACCCATGGTTTAATAGACAGTGTCAGGAAGCACAAGTGAGGAGCAGGAGGGAGTAGAGGAAGTACAGAAGACAAAGGACAGAGGACAACAGGTTTAGATGTAACAGAGCTAGGAACGATTACATTAACATAAGACGAGCGTCGGAAAGAAATTATGAGAATGATATTGCAATTAAAGCAAAAAAGCAACCTAAATTACTACATAGCCATATAAGAAGGAAGATGTCGGTAAATGACCAAGTGACAAGACTGAGGAAAACAGAAGAGGCATATACAGAAAGCGACAAGGAAATCTGCGAGGTACTGAATGCAAGTTTCCATGGAGTGTTCACAACCGAGCCTGAGTGGCTCTCATTGTTAGAAGAGATTACGCTAGATGAAAGACTATCAGATATAGAGGTGGCAGAAGAGGAGGTAATGAAACAGTTGAAAACACTGGATGCAACTAAAGCTGTTGGACCAGACAAAGTATCACCGTGGATACTAAAAGAGGCAGTGCAGGCTCTCAGCGTGCCTTTGGCAATGATCTTTAATGAGTCACTTATGTCGGGAGAATTGCCCAGTTGCTGGAAGGAGGCAAATGTCGTACCGATTTTCAAGAAAGGTGATAAGGAGGAGGCAATTAACTACAGACCCATATCACTGACTGCCAAAAGGCCTTTGATACGGTACCGCACATGAGACTGCTTTACAAACTTGAGAGGCAGGCAGGAGTAAGCGGAAAGGCCCTAGCATGCATGAGGAACTACCTAACAGGAAGGAGCCAGAGGGTAATGGTAAGGGGCGAGAAGTCGGACTGGCAAACAGTAACGAGTGGAGTACCTCAAGGATGGGTGCTG